CCTACTCCCTACTCCTGCAGCAGCGGTCATTATAATAATATGATATCCTTTGCCCGTGCACAGCAGCACAGGGTGTACCGATTGAGGGTAAAAAAAAAGTATAACACCCATAATATGTAAATTGAACCTTTATTTTTACTCTCGAAAATGTAAACAACAACCAACTTTTATATTATCTTGATGCAGGCCGGAGTAATTTGMTCTAAAGTTCAATTATTCATGAACAAAGCCCAGAGTATATATTGCGCACGCCCAGTTCGACAAGGATATTATATAATTTATAATATATACGCAGATATATAGGTGCCTATATATACACACTGATCGTACCTCTGCCTGTATTGTCTGTATATTTCCCCCACTTGCTGTTGCAAATGACGAACAAATGATTGCCGTAATAATATAGTTTAGGTACCTATACAAGATATACAACTAACTGATTTTTTTTTTACTCAAGCCATCCGATATCCGTGCAGCATTATAATGATTTAAAATAATAATCCCGTGATTTGGTGCCCGATATGTACCTATAATATAATATTTATTTTATTTTATAGAATTTTTTTTCCACTGGCTAGTTTACTAGTGTGTATTTATTTTTGTTGGGGGTTTTTTTTTTATAATTTTTTTTTCGACCACCGCGCTGTCCGACGCTCTGTCATAAGCGCGTACGGTAGTTGTACGTTTTAATAATAGTAATAACACAATCGGCGAACACTTTTACAACACCCAACGATCGGATTTATGGACTTGTATTTTACGCATGTTTGAGAAAACTCTTCCAATAAAATTACGTTTTAGTGTGAAATTCCCGAGATCCAGTAAGCATACGATATTGTACAATGTACATATATATATGTATTATATTGCACGGCAATTAAATCGTACGACGTGCGTTTCAATCGTGTTAAATCGGTGTCGAACCGAAGTTTGCTGAACAGCATTATATTTTCAAAGTTTTTGCACCCTTATATCTATACCGATCGTCTACCGTCGACGGAAACTATGTATATAGAACTATTCATTGACGCGTGCGAAGACGTGTCAATACTCAATATGCAGCGGTTACATATAGTCGCAGCGTAAGTACCTATATATATATATATATATATATTAATATCGCTCCCGGAATCGTATTGAAAACAGCATCAATATGTAATGTATCTAAAACGCATTAAATTAGCAGCGAAATTTATCATAACACTGTTCCAGTGCCCGCGCGCGTTTGCTGTGGGCATATGAATTATGCATTTGAATTAATTCAAAATTTCCCTCGGGACTGCCTTGCTCTCCCTCGAGCCGTTTTCCCACAAGCGTGACATGACATAGGAATACCGCCACATCATCATTGTATTATTATTTTATTTGTTTTTTTATATATAAACATATATATATATATATTTATACTCAGGTTGTAACATTTTTCTTTTTTATTATAATTTTTAAACACTTTTTTTATATTTATAGCGTGCAGTTTTTTTTTTCATTTTTATTTCTTGAAACTAAAAATAAAAACTTTTAAACTCGATTCAAAGTTTTTTGGGAAATTTCAAAGTAGTCAATATGTAAATCTGAATACAAGAACAGTTTTGACGATAAAAACATTTATCTAAGTCAAATAGTAAATTTTTGTAAATATTTGAAACATCAATATTCTTTTTTTGGATTAAATTAGTTTGTTTTAAAAATATACCTAAGCTAAGTATATTAACTTTATCCGAAATATTATTTTTGGGAATTTCCTGACACGAGTATATTTCTTAAATTATTTAGTATCCTTATAATTTTATTATTGTTATAATTTTCAAAAATTTTGTCAGTGTTTAACTAGCTTCTTTTTTATGTCAGATCTTGCTCTACAACCTGTACCTACCACTATCGATTTTATGTAGATGTAGGCCTAAACATAAACAAAATATGTTATATACAATTTATGGTATCGGAATTTCCCTTTTCTTTATTTTTATCTAAATTCAAACAAATACGAAAAATCAATTATTTCATCTTCGCCATTCTTGCGGGGTTTTTTTTTTTTTTGGTAATCATATCTGGCAAACGTACAAAAAATAAAAATTGAAAAGAGAAAAGAAAATAGTACGCACGCCCAAAAGTGGTGTGTGTATACATTATACGTATGTGTGTGTATATTTTTGGCCATAGTTGGTTTTTCATCGTTGTATCCCCGGTGGAATTTGAATTTTTGAGTTAAAGAACCCCCCAAAGTTTTACGGCCTCATAAATCTTTGGAAATTATATGGTTGCCCGTAGCGAGGATTGCGGGAAAAAAACAACATTTATTTCCTAAAACAAAATATAAATATATAATATATTGGAGGAGGAGAATGAGTGAGACGATGAACACCCCCCGTGACGGAAAATGATTATATACASTATAACATTAGCGGAGATTTTCGYGGGGAGGTTGCGTATATCCTATGTATGTATATATTGTATACACACTGTGAATCGGATCGGTGCGGTAGAAGAGGATGAAATAATGAAGAAGAGAAGGATGAGAGGGGAGCATAAAAACTGTGACAGCTCCCAGCACCAAACACTTGAAAACTTGAAGAAGAAAGAGCAGAATACTTGCCAAATGCGCCGAGAAAGTTTGTCAGAGCATTTCCATTCGTGTGGATAATTCGCCGGAGGAAACCGCCATTACGCACGGACAATTTGCTAATTGGTTGCGTGTCCGAGTACACTTTGTTTAATGTAAATAAAACTTTTATTCTCGCTCGTCGTCGGCACAATATCTCAGTGTGCGTCACTGCTGTAATATCGTCTATATACACAGCATAGACCGCAAGGGCTGGTGGGCTACGCCGCATGCATATTGCCTACCTACGTATAATAATATGTATGGGGGACGTATATATACGTGGTCGCCGCAATCGGTGGATTCGATTTCACCTCGTTGCCCACCGCAAATTTCACTGCTTCTACATCAGTGGTATCGTATGAATAAATAATGATTCAGAGCTCGGAACTTTATGCGCTAAAAGAACAATGATATATGAGCATTGTGCATTTTGCATACATACTATACATATTCCAAAAATGTCTTTAACTATTTAAATATGTATACGGTATAATAAATGAAAATCTATATTTTAGATATTTACTCAAATCATAGATGAACACAGGGCTTCTTGAAGGTTCATTTACAATTCAATTTTTGTTTAGTTGATAATTACTAAATCTGTTTACAAAATAATATTAATATTAATTGTATTTATATAAATGTCATAATTCAATAATAATAAAAAAAAATGGCATTCAAGTACTGTAAGTAGGTACTTTATGGTACGTAACAGATTTCAAATTCGGTTCGATTAAGATTTTGAATATTATGCAAGTTACTAAGTAATATGAATATGCAAATTTGCGAAGTTCCAAGAATAATAATTGACATCCGACATACTACATCATATTAATGTATTGCTTTCTAACACATACATTAAACAAACACCACATATACGTTACCCAAGGTGAGATGACGTTGCAATTACCTCCCGTCACTAGCACAACGGTATACTAATATATGCATTACGCATTACCTACAATATACACACATGCTGCTCAACGGAGAGTTTACTAGCCCTCGAATTAAGTCAAACTTATCTAGGTCTGCCCATCGGCCGTTGTAGTATCTTTTACTTCCTCARTGCTCTAGATGGGTAACATCATTGCATCAAAAATTATAACGATATGGTGTAAAAACGATATTTTAAGTTTCCATGATTCGCAAATCGCAAGTCACTAATACTATAATTACTTACTATATACTAGTCAAATAATAATTTAAGTATAGAGCCAACTATGCACTATATTATTATTATTAATTGAACATATATCATAACTTTTTATCTCTTCACACATTCGCATACCTTACCACGTTATATTATTAAAATATCCAATTATGAAAGTCTTGAAACTATAATATGTAAGATGTCGAGATTCAAGATATATAAGACGTAAATGATTTCCATGTCATATATTATCATTAATCGTTTTCTATGATTTTATTGCGTTATCAAAATAGTAGGTATAGAATAAAATAACTGCAAAAAGGGTATAATAAACTATTAGTACTATAATTTTATTATTACTGTACAAACTAAAAATAGTTTCAAATCGATATATTATTTCAAAAGCAAATGACAACGAGAAATGAAACAATAATTTCCTGGCGTGTCATTGACTGACGTCTACTCCGCTGAAATTATTCTTCTCCAAGCTATGTTTGACTTGGAAACACTACCAAAATGAGAATTCTCGCCAACAACTGCGCCAACGTACATTATATACATATCGTATACGTACATAATATAAATATACAAATATATAATATATTGTATATAAATGCGTCCGTCTATTGTCAAGCAAGTTTTGACGTAATTGTCAACGCCCGCATGTACCCGAATACGAAGAAGGATTGTTATAGGTATACGCGAGAGTTGCAAGAGATCTGAGCTTCTAGTCCGAACCAACTTCAACACCGTAATATACACAGGCGTGCGGGGGAGGGGGGGTGAAAGGGTTGAAGTTATAACTGGAACAATAATGCGCACACACATACACAATACTAATAATAATATTATATTATGTGTATGAGTTATAAGCAAACGCGTTTATTTCCGTTTTCTCCGTGTCTATCATGCGCTCTGTGTATTATACACTTTTTCAATAATTGTATAACAATAATCAACGCGTATGATTTAGCGTAACACAACACGACAAAAAACGACGGATGTTGCGTCTCCCCAAAATTGGACGTTCACGACTCGCGCGCGTTTTGCAATTTATTTAATCGTTTTCCCTGACGAGTCACAATAATATTATTATGTGAACGGAGTAATGAAAGCCGTCCGTAAAAATATAAGTTTTTTCCCCAACATGACAAAATATAACCAGGTCAAACGTAAAAAAATAATTATATTCCAATCATTTGTATTGATCGCGGTTCTACAACAATTATTTCTTCCGTTTTGTTTCAGCCAACACCAAACCACTGACGTTCGACGAAGTGTACAACCAGTCGAGCCCGACCAACTGCACCGTGTACTGTGGCGGACTGACCACTGGACTGACCGACGAACTGGTACAGAAGACGTTCGCTCCGTTCGGGAACATCCAAGAGATACGGGTGTTCAAAGACAAGGGTTACGCATTCGTCCGGTAAGTCTACGATGCCATCGTTATGATAATATTATTATTATTATTATTATTATTATTATTATTATTACACGAACAATGTCAGTAACGTTTTATAGGCATTGTAAACAATTATATAAAAATAATTATGAATAGAGAAATACGTCCGTGAAAAAATAAATAAATAGTGGCACTGAGCCGATCCGAGTGGTCCTCCTGAAATGAATCTAAGCGATTAATTTAACAACCCCAGAAATTAATTTGAAATTATTTGAAATTAATTTGCAATTTTTTCATCTCAATCCTATTGGGCAAGGTAATGGGGTAGATCTTACGCACGTACGACGGCTGTTTAGGATGAGAAGCAATTTCGAAGTTGTCAATTTTTTTCGTTTTATTTAATTTTTTTCCGTCGAAGTTTGTCGAACCAAAACGTGAAACTAAAGACGAATCCCCGGTATCGATCTGCGTAGATGGAAAAAAAAATAATTAAATGAAAGGACACACGAAATTCTTCGGCAGGTAATCGGATTTCAACCGAATCGGAACGGTAGGTCGCTCTGATTTTTCTAGTAACATGATTTAATTATTCAAACGCCCTGTGGGTAGGGTACATAGCGTACGTGTGCACTCGGCGAAAACACGAACGACGGATATCCAAATGTACCGACCGCCTCTACTTTTACCACCTCAACTACTTCCTACGCCACCGCTGCAATTCGACCACTACCGCGGACGACTTGTCATTACCAAAATGTAATGAACAGCACTAATAATATATATATATATATATATATTATATATGTATGCGTTTCACGTTTGTTGTGCAGCTTCTGAAAGGCGGGTAGGCGGAACTTAAGTAGTTTGGTCCATATTCACAATATTACTGGTAAATCATTAGCCCGTACGCTCGGCATCATTCCAACATCGTATACATAAATTAACGGCGTCCCCACCACCCAACAGCCCGTCGTCGCCAGCGTCACTATACACACACACATATACACATCTATAATATATGTGCATAATCGCCTCGCTACCACGAGACTTACCCCGGCAAAGGCCTATGTGTAGTCTTAATTTATTGTTGCAGGTAGGTACCTATATGATATGCGTAATTCTAAAATTCTCAAATCCCTTCGCCGAAATACGTTAATCGTTCACTTTTTTGAGATTTTGTTTTCATGCAAACGTATACTAAAATAATGGTAAATTCTTCGACGGTTAATTCGCGGTGATATTTCACTGGCTAATATTATGGGACTATATAGGTGTCTAAGTAACTTAGTTACTTAAAAATATAGAACAATACGCACGGAATTTGTTCAGCGTTCGTTAAAATATATATACACACATTATAGTTCCGTTGTTTTGTTTCTTATTTGCATACACGAACAAACAATTAAATTAATCCCGAAAGTGAACATTAGTTTGCGAATACTAATTTTTTTTTTACGATGAATTTTCAGTTATTTCCATTTCACGCGAAATTTATTAGATAATTCGTAAGTTTACAATTATGATAAGCACTATTGTACATATTACAATATACAATATTTACATAATATAATATATATATAAACATTACGTATATTAATATTTTTTTCACCTATAAATGAGAGTAATGAGTAATGAGTAATCTTTGTTGAGAGTGAATTTCGTTTCTTACGGCTGTAGATATTTTATACCTTTCATAATGATATCATATTGTTAATTTCACGTATACAACTTTTAAATACGTAGTTATTTTATAGTATCATAATAAGGATTGACATTTAAAACTTTAAAATTCGTACTTTGTACAATAATAATAATATAATCTATTGTTTATTTAAGCACATGATATAATATTATAGTTGCTTCATGATAATATTATACGAGCTACGAGCACCACTGATTTGAGATAATTTCTGAACAATGGCGTACCTAGTCGGATTATACGCTAATAAACGTATCGTATGGAATAAGTTAAATACCTGTCAAATGTACTGAAACAAAAAGGCGGTGTATCGGTCTTATTACTCCTCTGGCTATAGATACGCAATATATATACCATGATTACCGAAATACCATGTCGGTTCAATCCTGAACAATTCCTGTGGGGATGATACCGCGGTTTCCTTCGCCCTGGCCGCGTACACACATATAGGGAATGGTATCTCCATAAAACCATATTTTTAGACCCTGTCGCCCGCCCGTCTGAATTAATTATGAGACATCGGTAAAAACTGAATTGAAATTTTATTGTCACCCGCCGCCGGTCTTCCACTCGTATTTAATGCGCAAAGTTTTATGCGTTGTCCTGCGCGACACTCAACCCGTGAAATCGGCCTGCAATAAATCGTTTGAGCCGCCCTAAAATCATTACGCGGGATACGAGATTTCAGAGGTACAGACGAATAATAATAATGATAATAATAATAACAATAAAAATAATAATAAAACAAACAATAAACTCACGGTAGCGTCATTAATGCGCGTCGTTTTCGTCTTTCCGATTTAGCTATACATATAATATTATATTGTTAAATGTATATATTATTATAATAACATTAAACTCCGATAGAAATAACAAAATTTCGTTGGAAAATTTCGAGGGACGGCCGGGTTTTTGTTTTATAATGTCTTAACGTTGTGAAACGGAATGTTTGTTTTCTCTCGTCGGCCTCGCCAGAGTTCCGGCCCGCTGGCTACTTAGGAGTTTAAAATATTCATTCGCTCCAAGACTTCGGCATCAGTGGATACGTGCTGAGCTAATAAAGTTCGTTACCTTGTTTACAGAAGTGGTATACTAGCTGGGTCGGACTGTGTTTACCAGTCAGAATATATGTATATATTATATACATACCATGCATATTATATATGTACCTATATAATACATATATAATACTACATACACACTGGCTATAGTGTATATATATGTGTATAATACATGAGCGTACATCCGAAACGACCCAATACCTTTGACGGTGGTAGTGAAGCGTCGTTGGAGGTGGTCGGAGTGGCAAGCGGGTGTGAGGTAGTGGAAGGGTAGAGAGAAAGATTGCGTTGGACGGTTTCCTGCACTTCCCCACGGACTGCGCGGTGGTGGCCTCTTTCCCGGCCAATTGTAAACGGATTAAGAATGCATCCCCGACGACTCGACTATACTCGGACGAAAACACGGGCGGGCGTATTTTGTCGAATGTGTGTGCATCTATTATTAAGTATACATACCTTGTGTTCGGGCAGCCATTTTTGAGAAACCGTGTTATGGGCCAGGACCTGCGGACCATTTGTCCTCAATATTTAAGCGACCTGGTCGGATTAAAAATGTAACCCCGACAGCCACGTGACTCTGCGTGAACGTTTTAAACAATAATCGCATTTGTCGAATGTTCTAGATTCGCCACCAAGGAATCGGCCACTCACGCTATAGTGGCTGTCCACAACTCTGATATCAACGGACAGCCGGTCAAGTGCTCATGGGGTAAAGAGTCCGGCGAACCGATCGTGTCACAAAACGCGTCGCAAGTCTGCTCGTCTCAGGTAAGTTCCGGTCCACTGCGGACTTCGAAGTTTCCCGTACTAAACTTCCGGAATCCCGACTCGATACGAAACTGACCGACTTCCGCCCCGTGGCTCTTTTATTTACGTTTTAGGCGGCGCTCAGCAGCACACAGTTCCCGTACACCGCCGCGGCGTACGGCCAACAGCTCGGTTACTGGTACCCGCAAAGCTATCCGGCCACACAGCTACAGGGACAGTTTTTGCAAGGCGTCCAAGGTTATACGTACGGACAATTCGGTTACCAACAAGGGTATCTTGGGTAAGTCAACGGCTACTATCGTTATAAATTGTATAAATAGATAGAAAACAGGGTATTGAAATATTAAATTGCATCGGGTTTTACGAATTTCGAGCAAAATTATTATTGCCACGTGACCTTCTTTGATATTTCTGCAGAATTATGGAAAATCGTCAATTGTATAATTTACATCGTACAGTTGCCACTCTGGGGGGTTGCTCAATTTTTACTTTCGTTATCCAACACGCCTTACTTGATTATTTTTCAATTATATTTTGATGTGTATAATAAAAATATATATGTAACGACTTGAAATATTCAAGATACTTGAATCAATTGAATAAACTCTTACCTACAACTACGACTAATATACCTATACTGCAAGGTATACAAAGGTACTAACTACTATACAACTAACAAACAATTCTATGAATTTGAATGACCGAATTATTACTTATAAATATTATTATGAATTCGAAAATTAGTTTAAATTACATTTGTTCGTACAAGACGGAAATAAAAATATTTTAAGATCCGATCGGGTTAACCATTGAAATGTAGCGTATTCTGATTGAATTTGAATTATTCTAATAATATTTAATTATATTCGTTGAATATATGATTAATATTTTTTGTTTCTAAATAAAATTAAAATTTATGAAAAGTAGCAGGTACTAAGATGGAGTTCCTCAAATGCTAGGTAAATACACTTTAATTAAATTTAAAACCGTGTTTTCGACAGTTGGATAAATAGATTGAATAGTATTTCGCTCGTTTTAATTAAAGTCGCACCGCGTTATACTTTATTTTTTCTATTCGATTTAAATCAATTGCTTGAACAGCACTTGGTGTAATAAAATTAATATTGGTGAAAACGCGTCTTGTGAAAATTCTTTTTCTATATCTTTTAATAACATTATATTTATTACATTATACACTACAGAATATTAAAATATTATAAAATCACCGACTTCACCAGAAAAAAAAATTATGTTCAGAAAGTTTCAAAATATTGTCGAAGAGAAAAGTTATTTAATCGCAATGAATCGTATATATTATGGTTCGTTATTTACAGTATTTTAAATATATTATAACTTAATTTTTTGCACTTTCAAGAATAATTTGTTGGGACAAATTTACTCTAAAATGATTATTTTTCCACAATATAATATTTTACTGTTTTAGTGGTATCTTAGGTAGGTACATGAAATAAACTTGATTGTTTACATTATGCAAAGCTATAAATAACTAATAAGGACAAAAAGGTGTTAAATAATTGGTCAATAATGACTATCGATATTTCACGTACATATTAATATATATGGAGAAGTACTCCAAGTACTGTTTACGGTGGTTACTGCGAATTGTTTGCAGCTGGCAATATTTTCCCATATGTATTTGAAATTTATTATAATAATAATTTTTAAGTCAAATTTGGTGTAGATATATTCCCAGTAAAAAGATTGCGTCTAACCGGATATATGAATAGTAGGCATTTTGATGTTTATTTATCTATTTCTAATATTTCTAATTACCATCCTGATCACGATCACTTCATTAATCGTACAAGGATATAATGGTTGTTTTCAAATGACATCGTTTGGTACTGAACAAGTTGTTGAAGGAAGTTTTATGCCATTTTTTAAAGTTCAAGGCCAAGTATGGCAGTTTGATTCAAAACATTCAGGAAAACCCGATATTTTTTCAAATATATTTTGTTGGTGAAGATGAAAAAGAAGTTCAATTTAGATGTTCTCTTGATCCAGAAGTTAAATGAGCATTAGTCAACAGCTACGAAATATTCTGCATACTGAAAATAAGTATATTCGATAATTTAAAACCACAGTAGAGAATACAAGTCAACATTCTACACATTTTAAGGTGGTGATTAACGCATATAGAAAAACTGCTAATGGGCACAAAGGCTGTTACAATACAGCAACAGCTAATGATGTAGCTTTAGTAATATTTGGACAGCAATTTTAAAAAAGAGATATTATCGTTCAAATCTACTATAATCGACTACAACGGATAAGTGAATTACACAGGTCCTACGACGCACTTCAATACCCTCTATTGTTTTGTTATAGAGAAGATGTTACAACATGCTAACATACTACTCAGAAGGATGTAAATAAAAAATTTCACCTTAAGCATAAAACTGCGAGAGGGCCATATTGACACCAAAAAATGATACAGCAGGAGACATAAACAAAATATTATTGGACTCTTTCAAAGCAAAAAATATGGAATGCAGATCAGTGAATTCAGTACTGGAAGTAAATGATACAGTTAATTATCCAGTTTAATTTCTCAATTCACTCAACCCTCCTGGATTTCCACTACATTTATTAATATTAAAAATTGGTTGTCCTATAATATTTCTCAGAAACCTCAGTCCACCAAAATTGTTTAATGGGACACGTCTACGGATTATTGGTTTTCAAAAGAATTTGATTGGAGCTATTATTATGACTAGATCTGTAAAAGGTGAATCAATTCTTATTCCTCACATACTAATGATACCATCAGATTATCCTTTCGAATTCAAGAGAATTCAGTTTCCTGTAAAAGTATGTTTTGCCATGACAATAAACATATCACAAGGGCAAAACCTTGAAATTTGCAGGGATCGATGTAAGAGAAAATTGTATTTCACATGGCCAATTGTATGTGACATGCTCCAGTCAGTACGCCCACGGGTTGAGTTATTTTGGCACCAACAGGAATTACAGCTAATGTAGTTAATAGAGAAATATTATATTAACGATAAAAATCAGTTTAAAATAATTAATATAATATGACATATTTTTTTAAACGATCTTAATTTAATTTAACTAGACAATATTTAATCTTACCAGATATCAAAAGTCGACAAAAATATCTCAAGTACGTATCTAAAAACTGTTTTTATTGTATATTTCATAATATTTTTAATTTGCATTATACTTAGTTTCTTTTATCAGGAAAATTTATTAAATTCTGTATTTATTTTGCTAAAACAATAAGTAAAAAAAAAATGACTGACACTAATGTATAAATAATAATACGTTTAAAACAATACACGAAACACAAAATAAGGCGAGTAATCCATCCATAGAACCCTCCGATAATTAATTAAATTAATCAATATTATTATAATAGGTCACGATAACCACGCCTTTTAAGGTTAGGGTTGGCGTAGGAAGAGTATACATAATAATAAATGGGAGACTGAAGGATTAGAATAATGTTTCAGTTTGAAGTGAAACATATAATATATTTTGGTTAGTTGGTCAACTGTTGCAATTTTTTTATCATTGTATAAGGTTTCAGTTATCACACACTACGAGGCCTATAGTTGTAGCCAAAGAGTGATAAACTGAAAGTTTAGAATAGTGTGGGTTTGAGAAGTTTAGTGCATCGTTAGATTTTTATGCATAATTGAATTATCTGTTATTACATCAGATAACTCTCAGTACCACTACTACCGTCCCTTATTTTAGTGATACACTATAATTATTATAACATTGTAATATTTTAATCATCGATAAAATATGTCAACCAACATATTAATGACACAACAAATCAAAAAAAAATTGTTCGCAATTTCGATTTTCATTTTCGCAGCCGGATGGGAATGCAAGCACTGCCAACGGGAGCAACGACCGCGTGGACTCAACCAGGGGCCCTGCAACCTGGTCAACAGATCGCGTCTGCTGTAGCGGCTCAACAGTCGGCCCCGGCACCGGCTCCCCCACCCGCTGCCGCCGCCGCAATGATACCGGCCTATCCGACGCTCCACCAGTTTCAGGTAAAACAACACCCCGCACCAGTGCAGGCGTCCGCGTGGCCCATGTACGATCACCTCCACCACCACCATCACCACCTCCACCACCAGCACCATGGTGGTTACGAGGCCAACGAGTTATCCATACTGAAAATGGCCACCTCGTGATCAGCCTCCACAGCCGCAGCTTCCACCGCCGCCGCCGCCGCCATCGCCGCAGCATCCACAGCCTCCACCGCCGACCGATTCGAAGGCGCTTATTGTCCCACGAAATTGTATTACGCACCCTAAGCCCCTGGCTAATACCCCTAACGAAAAGTGCCCAATTTTTCAGCTCGTGCATATTTTTTGTATCGATGTTTTCGAAAATCTAATACGCCTAAATGGAAACAATGACGCGCAAATTGTTAACCACCCCCACCCTCCCTCATCCATCATACAACACGCAGCTACCTACCCCTCATAAGATCCTCCCCGGCACACTTATCACGCGCTTTCGTTATTATAATTAGTTTTTTTTTTTTTTTATTATTATTATTTACACTATTATTATATTAAATACGATACCGGTCGATTGCAAACTCAATGTACGCGTCCGGTATTCAATAAGAGTATTATTATTATTAATTATGATTGTCTATTATGGTTTTTTTGGTTTTCGAATTTGTTGAATTCGACGTGCACATAGTTTGATGAAAGTATATAGCTAATTTTGTAGACGAGAATGCTCTGAACGTTATTATTTATTATAATTATTTTAGTAGAATTTTTTTTTATATATATATATATATATATATATAATTTTGTATATTATTTTAGTTGTTTTTATACTGCTATACGTGGCGAACATTCGGCAAACCCCGCGTATCCCGTTCGGACAAACTGTCGTGTGAACGCATTTGAGTGTCATTAGGTTTGCACAGGAAATAGATTCAAGTCACCCCCCACTCCCACCTTACCATAAAAATAAAAAACAAAATTGCACTACCATCGTGTTTATTGTGCTTGTGATGTAATTTGTCGACGAACTTAACTTCGGCTTAACCCACTCACCATGATACTTACCTGTTATAATATTTTATAATATTATGTTGCCGACGACGACGATTGCAATAGTATAATGTTTTCGTTACCAATATATACTKCGCATCACGGTGGCTGCATATTCGCAGTATTTACCTGCACCTACTCGCGTGACATTCCACAAGCGAAGTATTCATCACTCGAATTGTGGAATTATTGATAACTACTCGTATATTATTTTATATGTATTTCTTTTTTTTTTTTTTTCAAATCTGAAAACCAAAAATACGCTTAACCTAAACCAGTCGCCGATGCATTGCAGTCGTTCGATCGCCGTGTTCTTGTATATATATATTATTGTACGTCGTATAATAATAATATTATGACATCGAAATTCCCGAGGATATATTAATATACAGCCGAAAGTGACTGGTTATGTACAAGTTCCTCGCACAAAAATATAACACAAACACATACACACGGAAAATAAAAATAACTAACACACATATTGATTCACATATTCACGTACGATGTAATACTATATAAGGGCACTGATGTGGTTTGCAGATAGCCGACGAAGAGTGGCTTACGCCGAGCCTGCTGGTCTGAGGACGACTGAATTCTGGAGCCCAAAAACGCGATACGATAATTCTTCCAAACTCCACCTTCTGCTACACACATAGTCAAGCCAATCAAATTTACAATACCCCGAAAGCCCTGCCGGTGTACCGAACGAATTATAAATAAATCATTTGGGGCGCCAAAAAACAAAAAAATTAATATTATATATTATTATATTATATTATACGGGCCAGTATATTAATGTTTATATTCGTTTGTATGGTGTCGAATCCCCCGATGGGTTTCATTCAGTTTTTAAAACAATAGATCGCTAACCAAATAAAAAACGTAACATATCATCGACACGAGTGATGAAGAATTGTGATAAAAAAAATAATAATAATAATAAAATCGATAGTTAAACCATAAAAACGAAAAAAAAAATTATTTAGTCATAAAATATTTAGTAGTCAAGTTAACGATGATATACATAATAATAATTGTGCTTACATGCTCAAAAAACAAAAATAATAATAAAATTAAAATTAACTATTATAATGATTTAATTATAATATTATGTTGTAATACATACTATGTACCTACACTGATAATAAATATGATCGCGCATTATTAAAAAGTGTAGGACATCGATTGCCAAACGATTTTTTTATATACTTAAAAAAAAAAAAAAATGATATATTTTTATTCAGCACATTTCTGTTGATGTTTTTATTTATTATTATTTTTCTTTTCACTTCACCTGTTTGAACAATGATAACAATAATGAAGCATTTTTGTATGAAATTATATAATAACACGATGGCTCCAGAGAACAAAAGTGCGTTAATACATAATATAAATAAATATATAACCGAATGTTATATTTTTATTATTATTATTATTATTATTATTGTGCATTCACACACGCGTGACAGAAATACACGGATGCACGTGCGCATATGCGTGTGTATGTAAATAGTGTATATTATTATGTTATCGATAGCGATCAATTCGCTCATTTTGTAATAATACGAGTCTATAGGCATAACGCGTACTACCTACATAATATATAGTTATTATTACTATTATTTATTTTCACAAGGTGTAATAACTTCGCTACGTTTTGCTGTTTTACCTGACTTTTGTAAATATTTATACGGAAAGAAAAATAATACTTTTATATAGCGAGCTGTTTTCATTTTTATATAGAATGTTATAGGTAATACGATTACATTATTATATTTTGTTGTGTTATGTTTGTCAGTTTTTGGTATTATCGAAACGTGTCCCTTTGAATGCAAAAACAAAAAAAAATAATAATAACATTACCAATTAAATGAAAATAATCACGTCCACTCTATGTTATTATAATATAACGTATATTATATTGATAATAAAAAACTTTTTTCATCCAAAACCAAGATCTTCGCTTCGAGTGCTCCCCACCGAAATTATTTCCTGTGCTCAATACACTCACATCACACACCACCATTTGTCTGCCGATTTAAATCACTAAGTTTTTTATTCGTTTCTTTGTTTATACATGTTACGTTATGTATATACATATAACGACCCACAAAATAATCGTGTTGGTGGTTTTTTTTATGACTCCCTAGCATAAAATTAATATGTCATATTATTTAACTATTATATAAGAATATAATCTATGTAAATTATAAAGTGTGCTAAGTTGTAGTAAATGTTTTTTTTGTTGATAAAAACACAAATAATTAATTAGATGGGAAACGTGCGTAGGCCGAATCGTAGCCATTGAGTAGTTTTATAAAATAAATAAATTTAATACAAAAACAACTATATATATATATATCAAATTTTTAATAACGAAAAAAGCGAAAGGAAAAAACGTTCGATTAAAAGCGTGTACATATAAATAAAACAATTATACTATATAAATATTGATGAATAATAATCACCTAGGATAAACCAAAGTGTAACGTGTAAGCATAGCGTGTAAGTTACACTGGTCATGAGCCAGACGAGCTAAGTCATAATTATTATTATTATTATTGAATAATAAAAAAAAAAACAATTATGTACATTGTAATATTTAGGTTAAATTTGCACCATATAATATAATTATAACAACGTTAATATATAATGATGATTATAGAGTTATTAAAAAAAAATTTTAAAAAACGTAAAAACGAAAAAAAATATAAACAAAAATCATTAGTTGTTAGTGTTTTTTAGGATTAAAATTAAATTATATTATTGTAATACATTATAATACATGTTGTGCGAGTAATTTTTAAGTATACCATAATATTATAACAATTAAATAAAAATGTTATAACTGTTATTTAACTAGTATATAACTATATTGGTGACCATAATATAACGATGTGTATGTTATGATGAATGAGCCACTGTTTTGGAGATTTTCCTGCCAAAAACCACATAATATACCTAAATATGTAATATATTATACATTACTTACACATTAATATTTGAAAATAAAATGAACCGTACATCCGAAATTTTTATACTTTATACCTATAGCAAGCAGCGTACTGAAGACTACAAACCGAGTTAGATAATAATATAATTGTTCGTAAAATATACGTAGATTTCCATTTTTACGCTAGTGTTTAGATCAATTTAAATCAATTTAAATCATAATAATAAATATAAATTTTGGAGTACAATCAGGGTGTTCATGTTGTATCTGATGAATTCATTTTTGTATAACTTATAATTCAATATTATGATAATAATATTTTGATAGTAATATATTGTAAATGTCTAAGTACAGGCGTGTCAAGAACATTATGATAGTATAGTAATGAAATAAAAGAAAAATTTTAAAAAAACTACACAAATCGCGAGATCTCATATGTGATAAAAAAATGTTGTATTCAAGATTTTGATTTAAAAACAATATAACATTTAAAAAAAAAAAAACGATGCTGTCAAAACGTAGCTCGTAGGTACATTCCGAAAAATTGTTACAAACATTTTAACAATTATTATTATTATTATTATTATTATTATTACCTATAATTATTATTATTGTTATATTGTAACTATAACCGTGTAAAAGCGATCGTGTCATGTATATAATACACCTATATGTATACTATGAAAAATGTAAATCAACTATACACACACGCGCACACAGACACATATATACACACATACCTATACCCAGCCATTACACAGCACTTATAATATTATGATGTCTATGTTGAGTAATATATTGTCATGACGTTCGTATATTACGATGACAGAAATATTATATATTATTATTATTATTATTTACGTATATAAATTGTAGTGTATATTATTATTATTATTATTATTATTGTTAAAATATGCAACTATCTAAACGTGTAGGTTTATATATACAAATAATAATTATTAATTATTTTAAAATAATTATATATATATACGTGTGTGTGTATGTATATAATTCACGTACCGTGAGTATTGCGTTATTATTATGTATGCGTACCTACATTATATTATAATATTTGTAATAATAGGAAACGCGTTTTTTAATTTATTGAAAACAAAAAAAATTAAGACATACGCATACCATATATAATATTATTATCAATTATGCGGCACCTTATATTAATAATAATAATAATAATAATAATAATAAAAGCGTGTGTGACAACGATCATAAACGTAAGGAGAAAAAAAATGTAATCTAAATATTATGTTAGTACCTATATAAATATTAATATTATTATCTATGGATTGAGCGGAATATTTAGTAATACGTATTGTGTATTTATTTATCCAACGGAATTATGTATAAAAAAAAATTATATATATAGTATAATATTATATCGGTACTTACGCCCTTGAAAAAAAAAAAATAGTCAAAAGAGTCAATATTAGTTAGATTGTTGCTGAAAAATTATTTATACAATATAATAATTATTATTATGATAATATAAACCAACACGTGTGTAGGTATCAACATATGTAATTGTTGTTAACGTTACTATATATGGTACATAAATATAATATATATATATATATAGTGATGACAAATATTATATAAATAATTATTAAGTTATTATATAGCGAATAACTGCTAAACATAATATATGAATAAAACGTAAAAAAAAAATGTTGTTGTGTACAAAAAGTGTTTTTTTATTTCACGAACCTTTATTTCGACATCATAACAATAATACAATAATACTCGTATGCGTGTGTATTATATAATGTGAACACACATTAATACGTTATTATATTGTTTTCCCGATTTCCTTCGGTGGTCCCACGCCCGCGCCATAGCATTACATGTGTCGACAACTGCCGAGTACGAGTGGGTTATATAGGTTTGGGACCGGTGGGTATCCGGGAGAGGTTTTCTCATTTACGTGTTTTTTATTATTATTATTTTTTTCTTTAATGCGTGGTCGCTCATTGTTGTCCCGCCGAATCAAAAGTCAACGGCGAACAATACCGTACGTATATATTATTATTATAACGTTCTACCCTACACTCTACAACTATACGCGAGCTGTTTAATAACTATTGTGATTCTTCAAAATGGTATATATTATGCTCGTACTATAAGCCTGGTAAGTATAATATTATTATATACATCATCACACACGTTCAGATTGAACAAGTAATAATATAATCACACATATTTACACACGAGTGTATAATAATATATACATGTGTGTGTGGATCTCGCGTGTTTGTCTTCTACCTCGCTCTGTTCTCA